TATCATTTGCAAATAATAAAAGTTTTACTTCTTCCTTTCCTATTTGAATCCCCTTGATGTCATTTTATTATCTTATTGCTATTGCTAGAACTTCAAGCACTATGTTGAAGAGATATGGAGAGAGTTGACAGTCTTGTCTTGTTCCTGATTTTAGTGGAATCGCTTTGAGTTTCTCTCCATTTAATTTGATGTTGACTGTTGGCTTGGTGTATATTGCTTTTATTATATTTAGATATGTTCCTTTTATCCCTGATCTCTCCTAGACATTTATCATGAAGTGGTATTGGATTTTGTCAAATGCTTTTTCAGCATCTGATGAAACGATATCATTTTTTTCTTTCAGTTTATTTATATGATGGATTACATTGATAGATTTTCATATGTTGAACCAGCCCTGCATCTTTGGGATAAAGCCGACTTGATCATGGTGGATGATTTTTTGATGTGTTCTAGGATTCGGTTTGCCAGTATTTTATGAAGTATTTTTGCATCAATGTTCATGAGAGAGATTGGTCTGTAACTGTCTTTCTTTGTAATGTCTGTATGTGGTTTGGGTATCAGGGTAATTGTGGTCTCATAAAAAGAATTTGACAATGTACCTTCTGTTTCTATTGTGTGGAACAATTTGAGGAGTATTGCTATTAGTTCTTTGAAAATCTTGTAGAATTCTGAGCTGAAACCATCTGTTTCTGGGGTTTTTTTTGGTTGGGAGACTGTTGAAGTCTGTTTCTATTTCTTTAGCAGTTATAGGTCTATTTAGTTTGCTTATCTGTTCTTGACTTAATTTTGGTAAGTGATATTTATCCAAAAAGTTGTCCATTTCCTTTAAGATTTCCAATTTTATAGAGTACAGGTTTTTGAAATATGCCTAATGATTCTCTGGATTTCCCCCATGTCTGTTGGTATGTCTGCCTTTTCATTTCTTATTTTGTTAATTTGGATATTCTCTCTCTCTTCTCTGCTTTTTGGTTAGTTTGGATAAAAGCTTGTCTATTTTATTGATTTTCTCAAAGAACCAACTCTTTGTCTCATTGATTCTTTGTATTGTTTCCTATGTTTTTATTTTGTTGATTTCAGCTCTCAATTTGTTTATTTACTGCCATCTAGTTCTCCTGAGTGAGTTTGCTTTTTGTTCTAAAGTTTTCAAATGTTCTCTTAATTTACTAATGTGGGATTTTCTCAGCTTCTTTATGTAGACTTTTAGTGCTTTGAACTTTCCTCTTAACACTGCTTTCATTGTGTCACATAAATTTGGCTATTCTGTGTGGTCATTTTCATTGAATTTTAGGAAGTCTTAAATTTCTTCCTTTATTTCTTCCTTGACCCATTGATGATTTAGGTGAGCATTGTTTAATTTCCAGGTGTTTGTGGGCTTTCTAAAATTAGTGTTACTGTTGAATTCTAGTTTTAAGCCATGGTGATCCAATAAGATACATGGGGTTATTTCAAATTTTTTGTATCTGTTGAGGTTTGCTTTGTTACCTAGTATGTGGTCAACTTTTAAGAAGGTTCAATGAGGTGCTGAAAGGAAAGTATATTATTTTATGTTTGGATGAAATGTTCTATCAATGTCTGTTAAATCCGTTTGAGTCATAACATCTGTTAGTTCCCTTATTTCTCTGTTCATTTTTTGTCTGACAGACTTGTCTAGTGGTGAGAATGGAGTTTTAAGGTCTCCCACTATTAGTGTATGAGGTTTAATGTTTTATTTAAGTTTTAGAAGTATTTCTTTTACATATGAGGGTGCCCTTGTATTCGGGGCATAGATGTTCAGTATTGAGATTTCCTCTTGAAGGATTTTTCCTGTGACTAATATGAAATGTCCTTCGTTGTGTCTTTTGATTGATTTTAGTTTGAAGCCTATTTTGTTAGATATTAGGATAGCTACATCCACTTGTTTCTTTGGTCCATTTGATTGGAAAATTTTTTCCCCAACCCTTTACTCTGAAACAATATCTGTCTTTGAAGTTGAGGTGCGTTTCTTGTATGCAGAAGAAGGATGGATTCTGTCTTCATATCCAATCTGTTAGCTTGTGTCTCTTTATAGGTGAATTGAGTCCATTTATATTAAGAGATATTAATGATGAGTGATAGCTATCTCTTATTATTTTAGTTTTCATTGTTGGTGATGTTATTTTGTGTATTTTCCCCTTCTTTATGATTTGTTGCTGTGAGAAGATCTATTGTCTGTGTTTTGTTGATGTGGCCAATTTCCTTGGGTTAGAGTTTTACTTGTAGTACTTTGTGTATGGCTAGGTTTGTGGATAGGTATCAGTTAATTCTGATTCTGTCATGGAATATCTTGTTTTGTCCTTTTATGGTGATTGAAAATTTTGCTGGGTATAATATTCTGGGCTGGCAACTGTGGTCACTTTAATGTCTGCATAATGCTCTGAAAACCATTTTAAAGGTAGAGCTGTTGGTGCCTTTAGAAGATTAGCAGCTGGTTGTGGCCTGATTTTGTACAACCTTAGTAGTCAGTGACTGTTCTTTATAATATCTTGTAATATATTCACAGAAACATATGTTAATTTATGGTTTGTTTCTAAGATTGGAGGACTATTAATCCGAGCATTCCATTGCTGTAGCAAATCACATCCCTGCAAATTCATTGCTATGTTAGCCACATACTGTTTTAATATTCTCCTCTGTCTTTTTGTCCCTATACATTCAACCTATCTTGTGCTCTGCTTTACCTGAGATAAGTCTTGATCCCTAAAAACTGAACATTTACTTCGTGAAGAGGCCAATTTGGATGACAAGATCCTGATGAAATTATTATTACATTTGTACCTGTGTACAGACCTTCAATGACAATGTCATTTATTTGTAATTTTAATTGTGGTCATTTTTTTCTTTATGAAAGTTTGCCAAAATACTCATTTCCTGGTTTCCCCTGAATTTTTTCTTCTCTCTTCTATAGCAGTATGGTTTCTTACAATAAACATTAGGGTTTTAAATTGCTCTGGAAAGCAATTTAAAATCCACTATGATAGCAGGAAATGATTGAACCCACTTTGACATAGGGGCCAGCTAGAGGCCCCTCATGGATTTCCCCAATGGCAAAGGATTACCTTGACTATCCCTTGTTGACCTACGTTCATTACTCCAATTGCCACACCTTCTACATAAACCAGAAGGCAGGGGCATTCTGGATGGATTGTGCTTAAGCTCAGAAAAAACATTGTTTCTAGTAACATCCTGTCTACAATCCTATTTAAGGGAACCTTGTTTGCTACAATTATAACATTTGACATTTCAAGTTTTCCTCAAACCTCTGGAGATCACCTCCCTCCTACCATGCATCATCATGGTCATGGGACACAATATTAATTGTATCTTGAAACCATTCCTCCAAAGGTGCTGACCTTGCCTTTAGCAGCCTAATTATCCTTTCGCATAGAGAATTAGCATTTTCAAAAGCCAGAGGTTCAATTATTACTTGTCTAACTTCTAAATTTGGTACCATTCTATTTATTTTTGATGTCAATCTTTGTAACAAACAAATCTCTGAAAGTTTCTTTTGAACCCTGTATGACTTTAGTAAACAATTTAATCTTTTTTTCTCTTTCGTCAATTCCACCCCAAGCATTTAAAGCTGTACGGCATAAAATCAGGGTGTGAACATCATATAGAGATTGCCTTTCTATAGTAGCACCATCTCCTTCTCCAGGTATCTGATCTTAGGGGTTTTCCATACCTCTAGTTTTTCTCTGTTGTTCAATAGTCTTAGCCTCTTTTCTGAACCAGGTACTTCATTGTAACTGTGAAACAGGCTCTAAAACAGCTTTAACCAACTCTATCCAGGCATTAGTGATAATTCTATTGCAAACTGACCATGAGGTTAACATTTACTTCACAAAAGGTGAGTGCATGCCATTTGAGACTATTGCTTCCTTGAATCTCCTTAAATCTAACATTGGTACAGGAGTCCAGCTAGCTGTAACAGAACCTCTGTGAGGTTATATTAAGGTTGGTTGTTTGAAAACATTAGGCTGTTCCTCTCTATTCTTACAATGCAATGCTGAAAATAGTTCTTCATTAAATTCCTCTGTCTTGATTTGAATATCTCTGTGGCCTGTTTTATTAAGTTTTTCTAAGGTCTGTATCTTAGCATTCAGATTAACCAACTTTTTAGTGATAAGGCAAAATGATAAATCTGATAATGTTTATAATTGATATTACATGAATCCCATCTAAATTAGATGGTCTCTCATTTTACCATTCCATTTTCAAACTGCCTAGCATATTATCATACAGAGACTCAAATCCCTCCAATGTAATGGTGTTTCTCACTTTTTAATGTGTTAAAAAAAACTCTCTCTTTTAACTAATTCCTCTCTTTAAGAATTCCCAATTGTCTTACCAAAACTGCTGATGATGTTGCTGAAGATGTGAGGCTGATTGCTGCTGTGTAGAACAGTAAAAGCCTGACCGGATTTTAAGGCAGCCACCTAGTTTGGTAGCAGCCCAAGAAGGGAGTTCAGGGAGAGCCCTCCAGGAAAGGAAAAGAGAAAAACCTAGCTGGTAGGGCAGTGACTCTGGCTGCTTGTAGCTCTGGCCTTTGCCAGTGACTGCAATGCTACAGGCAAACGGCTTTATTGTGAATTTGTATGCCAAGTGCTGGCACCAGATGTAGCAAGAATAATAAAAACCCAGAGACAGATATTGGGGTTCAACCTGAGGGTCAGAAAAGCCAAGCAGCCAACCACTGGCTCTTACCTCTACCTCAGACTGAAATGGACAACCCTGCCTCCACGTATCCTCAGACAGAGGCTGAGACTGAAACCTGTCTCCTTCCAACTTATATTCCTCTCTGTTGCTGGCATTAAAGGCGTGCACCACCGCCCAGTGTCTATGGCTAACTATTGTGACTGCTGGGATCAAAGATGTTTGCAACCACTGCCTGGCCTGTATGACTAACTGATTAGTGTGGCTGCTTTGCACTGATCTTCAGGCAAGCTTTATTTATTAAAACACAAATAATATACCACTATATAAGTCCTTTTTAAAATTTTATTTGGTGAATTGTTTGTTTGCTCTTGAGCTAGGACCTTGCTTTATTACCAGAGTCACTGAAACTCATCATGTAGCCCAGGCTGGCATCACATTTGCAGCTATCCTCCTGCCTCCGCATTCCAAGGGCTGGGACTACAGGAGTGTCTCACCACATGAATTGACATCTTGGAGGATTATGGTTAACTATGAAGTGCTGTCAGGAACATATGTGTCACAGGGGAAGCAGGGCCAGGCCATCTGGAGACAGCCTCTAACCTAGACCCTTGGGGAGCAAAGAACAGCAATCTATCACACCCTTTGTTTCCACTGGAGGCAGGGGGATGGACCACAAGACCTGGAGGTGTGACTCCCGGTTGCAGCTGTCCCCATGTGACCCAGAAAATCCCTTGAAGATGATGGTATCAGTAAAGAATGCTCAGTGCTGCAGATGGGAAGACCTGGCTGGAAAAGGACATGGTGCCAGGACACCAGCAGCATCTGTGACATCAGTCAACTGTTTTCATTTGTATCCTGAATAGCAAACACTTCCTTGAAATTCTTCTCAAACTCAGACTCCAGTCTAAGTCCCATTTGGCCAAAGTTACGGTCCTAGAAAACAACACGGGCAAGAATGATGATGCTCATTATCAGTGAGAGAACCATCTCCTCAGCACGTCTACACTCTGATGGAATCTGTTAACTTCGTGGTCCAGTCACGTGTAAGGTAACTCAGACTTTGCTATTTCTGAGAATCATGTTTATATAAAGTAACAACAGAAAATTTTCAGATTGGGGAGTTGATTCAGTGTGTCAATGCTCACCACATAAGTGTGAGAACCTGAGTTCAGATCCCCCAAACCCATGGAAAGCTTTATGCGGTAACACACATCTGTAATTCCAGCACTCCACAGTGGTGACAAATGGATTGCCTTATGTCAACAAGGTGATATATGAAAAGCTCCCACAGTTGCCCTCTAACTTGATCCTCATGTGTAGTATGACACACAGGCATCTGCATTTACACATGAACATACACATACCCATGTATACATACACATCACACATGTCCATAACGTACACACATATATATTTACACTAGTGTGAAGGTTTCCAAAAAATGGTCACCACAGGGAGTGGCACTATTGGAAGTTGTGGCTTTATTGGAGGAGGTGTGGCCTTGTTGGAGAAAGTGTGTCACTGTGGGCCTGCTTTGAGGTCTCCTGTGTTCAAGCTACGCCCAGTTAGACACAGATTCCTTCTGCTGCTGTGGATCAACATGTAAAACTCTCAGCACCTTCTCCAACACCATGTCTGCCTGCACATCATACACCATGATGTTAATGGACTAAACCTCTGCAACTGTAAGCTAGCTCCAAATAAGTTTTCTTTTTATAAAAATTGCATGCTCATAGTGTCTATTCACAATGATGGAAACCTTAACTAAGACAACTAGGTTTGGTGATCATGCAGGCTGCTATAACATTAGCTTTGGGGGATTTGAGGTCTTTGACCTCCACAGGTAACTACACTCACATGCACATACACTGTGGCATTTCTGTCAAATGCATATACGCACATGTGCATGCACACACATACACACACACACAGAGAGAGAGAGAGAGAGAGAGACAGAGACAGAGACAGAGACAGAGACAGAGAGAGACAGACAGACAGAGAGAGAGAGAGAGAGAGAGAGAGAGAGAGATTAAAATCTTGTGCCATCACACCTAGTGTTGTGGAATAATCTTTTTTTACACTCTGAAGATGTGTCTCTGAATTACTTCAGCTACTTAAGGTGCCTTCTGATTGGTTTAATGAAGAGCTGGATGGCCAATCCCTAGTCAGGAGAGGATAGGTGGGACTTCTAGGAAGAGATGGGAATGAGAAGGACGAGGGATCCTCCAGCCAGATGCAGAGGAAGTCAGATTCACATTGCTGGGGAGAGGTAGTGAACTGTATGACAGAGCATAAATTACTAATTTAATCTTTAATAATTTAAGCCTTAAGAGCAAGTGGGGGAAAAAAAACTAAGTTAATGTCAAGCTTTCAAAACTAGGAATAAGTCTCCAAGTCATTATTTGGGAGCTGGTGGGCCAAAAAAGTCTGGCAACGTGTATTTTAAAATACATATATTTTCAAACAAACAAAAAAAGGAAGAGCATATATTTTTTAAAAAGATCAATCAATTAATAGAAATAAGTGCCCTTGTCGGAGGACATGCAGCTTCATTGTCCTCTTTCTGGTCCTCTATCCTTATAGACTGGGAAGGAAAAGAGCTCTGTTGTGCTGGCGACCTTTCCATTAGTGAAAACAGTCTACATATTAAATCAAAAAAAATATTGTTCACTTCCGGACATTTTTTTCCTTTGAGATAGGGTCTCATACTGTAGACAAGTCAGGCTTTGAACACAAGACAATCCTCCTGCCTCAGCCTTTGAAGGCTGGAATCACAGGCATGCCCCACTGTGTCTGGCACTCTCAGACTTCTTGCTTATGCAACCTTATTACAGGTACCAGAAATTAAGGAAAGAGTAACCAACCCAGAGGAAAGAAAATGAGATGCAGACAGAAAGGGATGCTGACCTTGAACGTGACCTTGTGGTTCTGGAAGAAGAGCCTAACGTCTTGCACAAACTCTTTCACGTGGGAGTAATCTCTCCCTTTAAGCTTTTTCTTGATCAAGTCCAACCACATAGGTTCCGTTATGCCCACAGACGTCTCTCTAAACTGGTGACAGAAATAACAACGAGAGAGTGACAGATATGGCTCAGCATTACCTTCCAGAGGGCCCCAGAAAGTCCACAGAAACAACAGAGTCTGTGGTACTGGGAGATTATGATCCCAATTCCGCAAATGGCCCTCACATTCATGTAACATCATAGTACCCAGTGATGGAAGACTCACCACCATTACTTACATAACAATAATATGGCATCTTGGCAAAAAAGGAACTCTCAGAACAGCAGTAGATTCTCAAGAGGACAAACTCACACTTCTACAAGAAAAGGAGACTCAATCAAAGTGATTTATTAAGGCAGAATCCATACACATACCCAGGAGGAAGGCACTCAGACCTATCTGGAATGTGCCCCAACATGAGTGTCTCTTGGTTACAGACTTATAAAGGCTGAGTTAGTTCTTCTGCCAATGGGTTGTGCGGTGACAGCAGCATGATGGAGTGTGGCTTGGAGGAGCAGGTTCCACTGCTGCTGTTCTGTCCCCAAGTCTGTCTGTGCTCTTCCATGGGAAAGGAGCAAGTGTGGGATTCACAGGGACTCACCAGCTGCTCCTGGGGCACCATCTGCCTCTGCAGGACCTCAGATTCCAGATGAGTCTGTTTGCTTCCTAAGGACTGCATCCTGCAGAAGATGCAACTCCATGGTGTCCTGAAAAGTTGGGCATGAAGTGAGCAGGGAAAAAGACCTGAAAACAGTCATTGTTCTATGCCTGCCACTGTGCTTTCAGAATGGCTGGTGGTGTCATCTGGGGAGAGGTCCCCAGGCTCTGAGGGACCCCTTGTAGGATCTTAAGCTGCCAGTACTCCCATCAGAGTTGTGGTAGGAGCCAGTCCTTAAAAAGTGGGATTTATGGTAAGTGGTAGGAACCATATTTCTGGTTTCTGGGAACAGAGAGGCCAGGCAATTAGGTCTGTACACAGAAAACGATCTTCCACAAATTCTGGGAACTTTAGACCTTGATTGATCCATTACAACCTGGGTAAATGTGGGTGGTGGTCATGTTTCCCTCTTTCATGAATAAGTACAAAACAAAAGAACTTGGCATGTGCTACTCTCAGTCCTTTGCACGAGGGGCTCTGGTGAATAACTTTGAGGAAAAGGTAGTAGTAGTTAGTGTGAGGACAAAGGGTCCAGCCTTTTTATCAGAGGAGATGCCTCGCCTAACACAGAGAACATCAACCTCTTGCTGACAGCATCTAGAAACAGCTCTCTGCATCTTCCTGTTTGGTGTCTGTTAGTAAGAGCTCTTGCTCACCCCCCACATTGAGGCATAAGTTCACAATCTACAAGGGTAATGTGTGTGACAAGGAAAGGCTGTCTAGGAGGAGACAGAAAAGGGACCACATCTCACTCACATCTCAACCTCCACTGCAGGGATGTGACACTCCTCGTGGAAGGCTCTGGGGCAAGTGTCACAGCAGAAGAGCATTCCTCCATCCCGGCACACTTCACATTCATCTGAATTCTGCATGGAGAAAGTAGAACATTTACATCACTGAGAGATGAGACCCACAGAGCCACTACTGTGGCAATCCTCAACGTGTAGCCATTGTATGAACCTGCAAGGGCATGGATACTTCTTCCTGGGACACTAAGGAACAGCTTGGAATGTAAATTGCAGAACAAGACTTGAAGTTTGAGGGAAGGGAGCCATGACCAATCCCAAAACAATCTTCCTTGGGGAACCAAAGATCCTGACACAGAAAGACAAGCAATGAAACAAGATTTTCTATAATCTGACAAAGTTTTTTTTAACCATATACAAAAAATGAGTTTCTGAGATAAAATATTACGTCCATTTTTCCATACAGAAATGGCATTAACTCATCAAAGGGAGATGTATTGGGAATCCAATTTGATGGAATAAACTAAGAGAATAGCACATCCTGTAATTGAGCCATGAGCAGGCAATGAATTGAAGAAAGGGTCTGCAGAGGAGTGTTTTAGACAGTGGGTTCTGTGCCTAGAGAGCCCTGAGCCTGTGGTGGGGACTCTAAGAAGTCAGGATATGAGTACAGATGACCAGCCAAGTGGGTACAAAGCAAAGGACTCTATGGCTATTGGAATCTTGTAGAAGATTCCACATGATCCCAGAAAATGTACATGTAAGGCATGGAGTCACCATCTCTAAAATCCAAGGACTGTAGTCATGGCAACCACCCAGGGTGGAGACTAGAATGGTTTTATTTGTGAACCTCTGGGAATGTCTAATAGAGATTATATTAATTACAGTTAGACCTGTCCACCATGTATTCCTGGAGTGTGTGCGTGGAGAAAGCGCAGTGATCATAAACATTCATACATTAACTCATTGCTCTGTGCTCCTGGTGGTGGATGTGATGGGGACCAGTTGTTTTTATGTTTCTCCCACCTCGACTCCCCTGCAAGGATGGCCTGGAGCCTAGAACTATGAGTCTGTTAAGCCCATCCTCCTGTAAGCTGCCTCTGCCAGGGTATTTTATCATAGCCACAGGAAAGGAAACTGAGACAGAGACCAAAACTCTGCCATCATTTTCTTGAAACACAAAAGAGAGCTCTGTCATATTAAAGAGAAAAACCTTCCCAAATCAATGGAAATTGACCTTGCCAGGCCTAAAACAGAGGGTCTTTAGTCAAATTTGGCACAGTCACAACTGATGGGAAAAACAAAAGGAAAGCTGAGCCACATAATGGCCACCATGCCACCTTTGATTTTTATCTCCACCTGTTGTGTATTTGGAGGGCTTTTAATATTTGTACATATTTGGTGTGGGACAATGGTCTGTATTCTGTCAATTATATTTTAAATAAACACTGATTGGCCAGTATCCAGGCAGAAAGTATGGGTGGGACAACCAGACAGGAAGTACAGGTGGGGTCAATGAGAACAGGAGAATTCTGGGAAGAAGGAAGTCTTCGTCTCCAGTTGTGACATAATCACAGAAGAAGCAAGATGTGACTGCCTCGCTGAATAAGACACCGAGCCACATGGCCTACATAGACATGAATAATGGGCTAATATAAGTTATAAAAATAAGTAAGTAAGAAGTCTGAGTAAATGGGTCAATCAGTTTATAACTAATGTAGACCTCTGTGTGATTTCTTTGGGACTTAACAACTGCAGGAACCGGACAGGACAGAAAACCTCAGACAACACATATTGGGAATATTGGATTGATGGAAAATATTTTATGAATCATTTATGTCTTCTTCCAGGAGTACTGCTTCTGAACTTCCCCAGGAAAGTCTTGAACATACTACCCCTTCTGCTTTTAGGGAGATATCCTTATCTACCCCCAAGGTCTTCCTTGAGGTTGTGACATACAGAAAAAACCAGAGGTCTCTTTATCAGGCTATGAGATATCGTTGAAGCATCTGTCCCTGTAGTTCCTTGGGACCAAGATAATCAAAACAAAGCAACCTTAAAAAGGTCAACAAAATTCGGTAGGCTAGAGGAGTTGGCCACAGATCAGATTGCAAGCCTCTTCCCACTGTACACTCAAACAATTACGTGGCATATACAGCAACAAAGTTAGATTATCTGAAGTTATACTGATTGTCAAAGTATGGACTAAAGTGATGATAAAAAGAATGAGATGTCAGGATCTCTTTTCTTAGAAAAATTAGCATGTATAGCGTCGCTGTGGTGTAGTGTGACCAAGGAACAATAGAATGCCAGGATTAGATATATAGACAAATATAGAACTATAAAATATAAACATTGTATTATATCAGAATTTGAATAATAACTGCAGCAACTTTGGCCTGAAGACTTTTCTTGGGATGCCTCTAGATTCTGAAAAATTGAGTTATATGGTTTATGAGTAAAAATAATTGTTTTTAATGATGTCAAATCACGAGAGATAATGAATGGAAATGATAACTCTGTTCTGTCATCATTTATGAATAATGACTAAAAGATGAGTAAAAGGAACTAAAATACATGTCCCAAAACAAATACGATATGCTCTATGTCTTGGAACAACATGAATATATGCCTGATTACTAAATTCTGTATAAACAAAGAAACACTTTGACTGAGAGTCAGTCAGACTGCAAGATTCTCCTGACCACCGTGGCCTGGCTTACCTTCTTCCCTTGCCAACCCCTAACAACCTCTGCTGGGACCTGTCTACCACCAGGGATGGCCCCTGGCACAAATTCAGTTTTCATCTAGAGAAGTTCAATTTTGATAGTATTTGTACCTGGTTACTGCAAATTAAGGTTTGTTTATTAAAACCAATAGGCTGTATAGAGCAATGCTGAAGAGAGCAATGCATATCCACCGTATGGTACACAAATATATGTGTGCTCAGGTGTTTAAGTGGTTTATGACTGAACCACTGCTGTGTGAGAAGACTGGCACAACACCAACACTAAGGCTCAGTGTTAGGCACTGCCTCGATAGCAAGGAAACTTAGATATTTTAAGTGGAGTGCATGGATTAAGACACCCACTCAGGAGATTAAGGCAAAAAAAAATCATGAGTTTGAAGACAAGTTGAAACCTCTGTACCAAAAGCACATAACTGAGATGGTCTAAAATGATCTATAAGTTCTCTGCAGCACTCTCCTCCTATGGGTGAAGCCCCATAAATAGCAACCCCTATCATTCATGATTGACAGGTTACAGTTCACTGTCACCCAGATAACTATTCAAACTGGCACCTCACAACCTCCCTTGGGAAGCTGGTGGGGCTTTCTATGGTCATTGTTGACACAGGAACCAGAAAGTGTCTGAGTTCTTGTGTCCAGGAGCACATGGGTAACTGGTGCCACCTTCAGAAAGAGTGGTGACAGTTGGAGAACTGGGTGGTAACTCTATGCCCACATAGAAAACTCCCACATCAGACATGGTGGAGCATTCTAGGAATCTAGGCACTGGAAAGTTGAGACAGGAAGATCAGGAGTTCAAGGCCATCCTTGACTACATAGTAAGTTTAAGGTCATTTGAGCCTACATGAGATCCTATCTCATAAAAAAGAAAATAAAGAAAGAAGAGAGGGAGGAAAAGGAGGAGGGATGGTGTGAAAGAAAAATCTCCCATGTAGTCCATGTGATGCTTGGAAAACTTTTCTTTTTGTGACTGAGGGACAAACATGAGACTGACCTGAGGACTGGTCCACCACTGAATGAGTGATGGGAAGAAAGGAGGTAGGCAAGGTGAGAAGGTCAACTATTCTGTGCCCTCCTCCATCTCCGCCTTTAGGAGAAGCCTGACCTGAGGCATCAGTCTTGGTGGTTTCGCTCTATCACCTAAACTACTGGACCACTTTAGGAGAAGCCTGACCTGAGGCATCAGTCTTGGTGGTTTTGCTCTATCACCTAAACTACTGGACCACTTTCCTTCCTGCTTCCTTCTCTTCCTCCTCCAGACACAAAGGTTGGAGTTCCTTAGATTTCCATCCTTGGCCACAATCTATCCATATAATCAGTGTCACTCTCCAGCTGCAGGTTTCCCTTTGTGTCCTCTGCTTCAGGGTGCCTCATCTCTCCTCTGCACCCCTACATGTCCTAATGCTCAGCGATGTCTCCTCTGGGGCCCCCTAGATGCACCTCAAGCTCATCCCTTTAAACTGTAGCCATTTTCCTACTGTGCCTTTCTCTTTCTTTGACATTTCCATTTTAGAAAACACGCTTCATACACCTCAAACCTAGGAGTCCATACAGCTTCTCTGCTTCCTCTCACTTCCCAAATCCATCCAGTTCCTTGTCCTCAGAACACTAATTATCAAGTTCATTTAAAATTTTGTTTTGTTTACCAAGATCTGCAAACTACAAAGATGCTGGTGGGTGCAGAACATTGACAGGAATGGAAGGATTAGGATGACTATTCTTGGTTGGCAATTTAACTATATCTGAGATGAATTACAGTCCAGAAGTGGATGACACATCTGTGATTCAAACCTTGAGATAGGAAGACAATATGTCTTTGATCAGGATTTTGAGCCAGAATGACACACACATTTAATCCAGATCTTGAGGCCAAGATACATCTTTAATCTGGGCCACAGCTTCTGTTGGAAGCCTATATAAGGACAATGGAAGAAGGAAGAGATCATTCATTCTTCTCTTCCTGCTTGCCCTTGCCTTGCCAGCACATCCATTCCTTCAGTGGCACTGGAACCTTCTTGTTTGAGGTTCTAGCATATACAGAGGAGCAGCTGAGACAGCCAGCCTCATAGGACTGTGAAACTACTAGATTTTGGACTTTCCGTTCACAACTAGCCCTTGTTGAATTAGTTAGATTGTAGTCAGTAAGTCATCCCAATAAAGTCCCTTTATGTGCAGATAGATAGATTGATATATAGATGATAAACAAATAGATGATAGATAGGTAGGTAGGTAGATAGATAGATAGATAGATAGATAGACAGACAGACAGACAGATTCTTTCCATGAATTCTATGACTCTAGAGAACCCTGACTAATACAGATTTTGGTGCCAGAGTGGTTCTACAAAACAGAAGTAGAAGGATGAATCTTT